GAATTTGGACTCCACTTTAGAAGATGGAAGGAAGCATGCGTTCTGCTGATCAGTGACGCTTTGTCATGTGCCATTGGAAGCTCATCTGGTGACTAGAGGTTCATGGTAGCTCAGTTGGGAACCTCTCCAACAAACTCAGTAGCTCAGGTATAGGAGCTGAAGACGCAATGGCATGGCTGAAGCAAAATTTGAGGCCAGCTGGAAACTGTATTAGCAGGTTGAGAAGATGAAAACATTGTGGAAAGTGGTAAAACAAAAGTTGAAATGTCATCCCTGGAGTATGGGCTGGAAAGTGAAACAAACACAGTCCACGTTTTCTATAATTTTAGGTCTTTATAAAAATAGTGAGCCACGAAATGCTTGAAAAAGAAAAGAAAAGGTAATTTCAGATGACAGCCAGTGCCCGCTATAAATTGTTTCACTTTCAAATGAATCATCAAAATATTGTAGCTCCCAACTCCATCTTTAAATGGGATTCTGCTATATTCTATCTTGAACTTTTCCAAAATAATATTCCTTTAATTTATTGTAAACACTGCTCAAATCGTTTATAACTGTGATTTTGCCAAAGTTTACAATAATCATCTTGTCTTTAAGAATGGCTTTGGCATCGTGCTTGGCAACCAGCATTTAAAACAAAAGCATTTTTGCAGCTGATATTTCGCTGTTTCCCACTGGTGCCTTCCAATAAAAACTGAGAAACAATTAGACCATAAACTTTGATCCCAAGCTTTGTTTAGTTCAGCTTTCATAAGGAATACAGACTAACTGGTATTAGCTCAAGGAAAGAAAATTTACTATAAAGGATTTGCCTTGGAAGAGAAAAGGAAATGATTGCATCTACAGTAGAACCTGGCTTAGGGACACTGGAGCTGAACGGCTGTTGGGTTTCCAGGTGTATGGAGCCTGTAGATGTTCACTTCAATGGCTCTCTGTCAGTGTAACTGCCGCTTCCGGTCCCACTACCAGTAAGTAGGCTTCCTCCTAGTTTCTGGCCCCCATGGTCTTGCACAAGGTTCTCTAGCAAATTCTTACTTCAGATCTGTAAGAGGAAACAGAATTGTTTCCATGTATCTTTTGTGACAGTCAGGTGGAAAGCCAACCTATAGGTTGGTTTCCAAAGTCAGGTGCCCACCACTGGTCCACTCAGTTTTACCTGGTGGCACCTAAGTCATGTAAGCAGTTGAAGCTCTTGCTAGAGCAGTTCCATCAGAAGAGGGATACGCGTGGTGGGTGATTTTAGTAACAATTGCTTGTAGGTCAGGACTGAGGAAAAATGGGCCCAGTACTTAGCCAGGTGCACTTCGGGGTATATTTTAGACACATGGTGACAAGACTGTAAAAAATGCTCTACTCATTTTGTTGCCTGCTCACATCCTGCCAATTATATCCTGATAGATTTAGAGCTGAAGCCGGGCTCTGTACACAGACTGTGCTACAAAACTGCACATTATGATTTCTATTATTTTTTTTTCTTGAAACAAACACTTCTCACAATTAGCCATCCATCCAACAGATAGCATCATTGTAATGTAAGTGACAAGGCAATCACTCCACAAAAAAGCTCCTTAACCACACGTTCTCAATGTCTCAATTTTTTGCTTAATAAACACTGTCAAGTTTATGAATAATTTCTGCAAGTAAACAAATAAGAGTTTAACTTTGATTTATTAAAATGTTTTTCATTGTATTAAAACTTACTTACATGTACATATTATTCAAATGCCTAGAAATGCTAAGTTTTGACGTTTTTAATCGTATTCCATTCAAATTTTTTACAAGACTACTTTTGTTTATTAAAAACATTTTATCAAGGAGTTAATTGTACGGTACTTATTCAGGAGTTATATTCAGGAAGCACATTTAATTTGAACTACATTAGAACTGTAACAGATTGCGTGAATTAAGTAACTTTCAAGCGAAAACTTATGATAGTTTCCTACCACATAATGGTTATAATTATAGCCATCCTGGGTGTGCTAAGGTAAAAACACACGTCTGTTCTTTGGACTCAATTTGTTCCTTTTTACAATGGTTACTTGGGTATTAGAGAATTTGCACAGTTATGGGAAATTATTCACTGTTATTTTATTTGCAGTATTAATATGCTTTAAAGGATTACCACATGGTTATTACTCCTACAGGCATTATAAAATTATTCAAACTTCTTTTAACTGTTTGTAAGTGTGAGCTGGGTATTTTTCAGGGTGAATTAAGTCTTTTAGACAGCTATGGTGCCATCTACTAAATAAAGTGTTATAGTGGACATTTTACTTTATTTTTTTTGCTTCTGGGATTCTTGAGCCGTTGAGAGTTAGGAGAAACCCCCAAGAGAAATAACAGTACACCTATTAATTTAGAAAACTGGAGGTTTAAGTAGTTCATTTGAATTCTAAGAGATGTAACCTCCCAAGCAGTCATATCCAGTTATAAACATATAAAACTAAATAATGGTTTAAAAATATGTAGATTAAAAACAATCATGGCAAGGGAAATAGTTGAAAGCCAAGAACTGAGGAAGAACAAAATTATTTGGTCTCAGTGGTTGGCATAATTGCTAGAACTGAACCTCAGATTCAGTTCTAGTACTCTTGTTAGCCAACATGAAGAATGAAAACAGTCAATTACAAATAAAAAAGATTTTTGTCTTACATTAAAATTTTAAAATGTTTTTATTGATAAATATAATATGCAACTAGAACAAGTCAATGAGTAAAGCCAACACATCAGATACTCTACTTCCCTCTGTCCCATTCCAATCATTGTCCCTCCTCCCCTCTCCAAAGTAACCATTATAGCAGTGATTTCCAAGCAGTGTGATGTAAGAATTTTTAAAACATGCAATACCTGACTATTTAGTCAGGTGCACTGATATCTTTTCCCTTAGAATGTCAAATAAAAATATTTCAACAGCCAACACAATAGCCATCCGATGTGAATGGATCAAAATTATACCTTTTTTTTTTTTGTCAGATCTGTAGAAAGCATAATATATATATTTTTGGTGTGCCACCGGATTTTAGTAATTAGTTTGTGTGCCATGAGACATAAAAGATTGAAAATCGCTGCATTACAGTATACTGTGGAAGAAAGAGGTGAGAGTCTGCTCTCTTTTGCTCAACTTTATAAGATTTTCCCGAACTGTTGCAGGAGATGCAGTTTTTCTTTTCATTACTGTGTAGCATTTTGTTGAGCAAACATAGCTTAATATACTTACCTACTATACCGTTAAAGGGCTTTTGGTTTGCTTCCAGTTTGGGGTAATTTAGAATTTTACTGCTAAAGGCATCTTTAGAAAATGTATCTTGATGCACAAGTCCATGCATTTCCATTGGTTATATTCCTAGGAGTGGGACTGCTGGATCAAAACTGTTTTCCTAAGCGGTTGGATCAAGTTACACTCTCACCAGCAGTCTTTGACAGTTCCCATTGGTTGTGTCCTCCGGAGCTGGGTCTCTCACAGGCAGCAATCAAGGCTGGGGCTGTGATCTCATTTCTGGTTTACTTCCTTAATGCCCCTATTGTTAGTCTTGCTGATTTTAGTCATTCTGATGGGTGTAGAAGAGTATCCCATTGTGGTTTTAATTTTCATTTTTCTCATTACAAATGAGGTTGGGCATCTTTCTACAAGTTTGCTGATTATTTACATTTTTCCTTTTTCAGAGAGAGCTTGCTAAAGTATTTGACCCAGTCTTCTTAATGGTGGTCAATTGTTTTCTTAATGATTTACATTAGTTCTTCATATATTTTACATATGGACCCTTAATTTTATCTCTTGTAAACATCTCCCAATCTACACGTTGCTTTTCATTCTCTTTAACTTTGTCTTTGGATAGGCAGATCTCAAGTTATTCAAATTTATAATTATTTTCTGAATAGTTGATAACCTTTTTGTTCAATTTAAAATTCATTCCCTATCACGAAGACAATTTATATCAACTTCTAGAATGTCCATTATTTCATATTTTACAATTAAATATATGATCAATTGGCACTTGATTTGGGGACATGGTTTGAGGTAGCGGTTGTTTCTTTTACCATGTGAATATCAAATTGATATTAAGTCAAGTGTCCGTTTATGTAAAGGTCTGTGTCCGAGCTTTCTATTGTTTCATCTGTTTGTCTGTCCTTTCACCATTGTTAGTTACACTGTCTCAATTACCCTTCACACTTGGTAGATATCCAAGTTTATTATTCCTCGAGAGCTTCTCAGATATTTTTGCAGCTCCATAATTATTTTAGAATAAACTTGTTATATTACATATACACGTACAACACTACTGCGATTTTGAATGAATTTGTATTGAATTTATAGATCAATCTGAGGACTCACTTTGTAATAATATGGAGTCTTGCAACCTATCAACATACATTAATCCTTCATTTATTTAGGTGTTCAATTTCTTTAAAAAATATTCCGTAATTATCTCTGTAGTGAGGTTGTAATCTTTGGTTAAATTTATTCCTAGTTATTTGGTATCTTGTATGCTAAAATAAATTGTATTTCTTTAAAACATCAACGTTGTTTGTTACCAACCTATGGAAACAGTTGATCTTTGAATACTGACTTTGTATTAGCTACTTTGTTAGTCTATGAATTCAATAATTTTTCCTACATTTTTTGGATTTCCCAATGCACGTATCATCTATTAAAAAAAAATAGTTTTATAGTTTCTGGCCTAATCTATACCTTTTATTTCTTGAAAATACTAAATCCCACAATAATCTGAATGAGTAATGTGTAAAATTAGTTGCAAATTTAATAAAAAGATGTCAGTGGATTGAATCTTCATCTGGCCTGTTCCCACTGTCAGTTACTTTGCACACACCACTACCCCTTAACACTCCTTTCTGACCCAGACGGCTGACCAGAGCCCAGCGGGCTCAGAGGCGGGCTGCGGGTGCGCGCGCGCCGCCAGCACGCTCACCGCCCCGCCCCTCGCCGGACGCAGCCAATCAGCGGCCGCCTCTCACTGGCGCGCCACCGGCAAAAATGGCTGCGGCCGTTAGTGCGGGTTGTTTTTCTGATTCCATGGCCCTACTCTTCCCGTGCAAAATGTGAAAGGAGAAACGGCTTGTGGAGGGGGTCCTGGGCAATGAGTCGGCGAAGAAAACTTGGGGACAGCCCTGGTCTGAAGAACACGCTGCGCCAAGCGGCGGCGGCTGAAGAATGCAGCTCGGTGGTGGACTCGGGGAAGAGGCGGCTGAGGTCGGCCCGCCGATCGGGGCTCTGCGGGGCCGGAGAGGGGCCTCTCCAGCCTTTGCCGCAGCAAGAGCAGCCTTCAGTAGCCGCTTCGTGCAGTAAAAGTAACCCCGAGGGTGAGACGTGGGCAGCGCGGCCTCCCTAGGCTTCGGCCCTGCAGCCCCACAGCCCAGTTTGCAACTGGGAAACGTGGAGTGGGAGTGGGGGTGGAGTCTGAAGGGTGTTTTTTCCCTGGGCCTCTCCGCTCGTGCGTCCAAAAACAACCCGACACACTCGCCCTAGGTCCTCGTCCCCGAGTTTGAGCACGGCCCCACTAGGTTTGATCACCCGGTTGTCGCCCCTGCCACAGGACAAGGTCGTGTGGGGTTGACCTGTTGGAGGGAGGGAGGACGGCAAAAAGTAGACAAAAAGTTCCCAGAAGTGGATCGCTGAAAGTATGATTTCTAGGCTGCCCCTCCAAGTCAGCAGTGGCGGAGCGAGGAGAAATACTTGATAGACATTTTGCCTCCTGGGAGAATTATTTCCACTTAAATTGTTTGCCTGACGTGCTCTAGAGAAGGCATCACATGAAAAGCCATAGCTATCTCTACCAAAGCCTTGCTGATGGCTCATCTCCTAATGAAAAAACCGGAAGCCCTTCTATCACGCCCCTCAGGGTAGGGCCCAGGAGTATTTCATTAGGATAAATTTTTGGTGTTCCATGTTTGAAAGATTTTTAAGAAAACCTGGTAGGAACTGAAACTCACACCAAAGCTGTTTCCTAGAGCGTGTTCTTTAGACACGGTTTTTGTTGCCTTACTGGCTTTAGTTTACTCCCATAAAGCAACACCAGAATGAACAAAAACAAATCTCTAGAAATCTGAAAAGTGATAGTAGACAAAAAGTTCCCAGAAGTGGATCGCTCAACCTTTTTAAAATAATTGGTGTAAGTTGGATAGAGTTGGTGAAAGCGGACTAAAGAGACATTTACTGAAGTTTCTGTCGGGATGCCCTTGATTGTTGAAGTGTATCTATAAATTACAGGTGGTTCCCATAGCCCCCAAGTTCCAGTGGTAAGGAATGGAGTGACTAGAGGATACAGTATTATATTTTCGTAGACCTACTAGATTATCTTAAAATACTTGCTAGTTACAATGTTAAATTTGGGAAGTATTAGAATGATTTCTTTGAGAAACAAACATTTCATTGTGAAAATTTATATTAAATTATCTCTGGGAGAAAATGATATAATTGTACTATAAATAGTAATCTTGTTAAAAGCTATTATTTGACATTGGGGTGTTATGAAGCAATGCTAAAATGCAACAATTGTTATTTTAATCTTATTTTTATGTAGAAAAGTATGAAACACCAAAGAGAGTGCTGCAATTGAATTTATTGTCATCTACCTTCAGTTCTCCTAATGATCCAGATGGACAGAATGATATCTTTTGGGATCAAAATTCTCCAATGACCAAACAGTTAGGTAATTTGTTATCAACATTTCTATCTGGGTGACTATTTGAGAAATGATTAGGATTTAACTGTTGAATTTCAGTGGGGGAACAACATCAGGAACTTTATACAGTTTGTTATTTGAGAATCTTATTTGATTGTATTGCTGCGATATGTATGTGATATCAGTGCCTAGTGATCTAAGCTGTGCTAATTGAAATTGTTTTATAATAAGTGTCCACTATTTTATAAATCCTTTTTTTTATTTAACATTTATAGAAATGTGTTTATTTCTTTAGGTAAAGGAAGAAAAAAAAAGATTTACACCACAGATAGTGATGAGATCTCACATATTGTTAATTGTATTGCTCCTCAGGTAAATATCACAGATTTATAATTTAATTTACACCACTAAGTCCTTGTATAATTCATATATATGAAAAATATTTTGTCTTTTACAATTTTTTTTTGCCAAAAATAGAGCAGCAGATATTACTTGTTCTACTACTGAAATGCAGATTTTGAAAAAAGAAACATAATGTAAGATTGGTAACTATATTTTTCTAAACATATTTTAGTTTTTTAGAGTGATGATTTGACTAGAGCTTTGTGTTTATTTTGTTTTTAATATTATTTTACAATGAATGGCATCATTTTCAAGTTACTAAAATAACACAATTGGACAATAAAAATGTAAACTTTTAAGTTTTTTTGTGATTGGTAATTGTGTACGGTCTATAGTGCAACTTTTTCCCCATTGAAACACCTCTTAATACTGTTGATTTACAAGATCATCAAGTAACTTTGTAAAGGCGCAAAAAACACTGGATTTGGAGTTCGTTCTTAGACCACCTCCTATATTGAGTGTCCTAAGCAACTAACAAGCTCTCAGAACTTCAGTTCATTTGGCCATAAGCTGGAATTACTTTCTTGTTCTCTTTATTGAATCATTATGAGGATTGTATTAGATAACAAGTCTTTGTAAATTATTTAACACTATAAATATAAGGTTATGTTAAAGTTAGTTATGGTAGTTAAATTATTTGCTGTAATAGAAACATCTGCAAAAGTTCTTTTTTCTTTAATTTCTTGTACTGCTTCAGTGGAATAGAAATACAAATTTAAGTCAGCTTCTGTTCTGAGCCTTTACTTTCCCCTCTTTTTTCCTTATTGAACAAATTTAAATTCAGAAAACATCTAATTTTGTTTAGTGTCTTCTCTGTAGGAAGGATGATAGTTTTCCTTGACACAACTATAGATAGTGACTGTATGTTGACCAAAAACGAGATGGCACTGACCCAAACTGTGGTTATGCGGAATCACAATAATCCAGTGGAGGAGACAGGAAATAAAGCTTTTCTTAATGGCTATAAAATATTCTAAATTACAACTATGATAGTCAAAACAACTCTGTTGCTACTAGCTCTACATTCCATGTTTGGCATGTCATAGAAATTCATTTTCCATATGGTTCATTAGTTGAATAGCACTTATGCCATAATACGACTTACTTCATGAGTTAACAATAGATCTTCATTAATTGTGAGTTTCACTTGAAAGAAGCATAATAAAATGTGTATGGGCTGGCCAGCCTAAACAGTGATAAAAAGATAGTTGAGCAAATTACTGGACTCTCCCTAAGTGGGCTGGAAATAATAGCTCACCTAAAGAAATGACAACAGTATACACGTGGTAACTTGTGTATCAGAAAAAATATAGTGAAATTAGTTGCTTTTAAATGTTACCCTTTTCAACTGAGTACTTTTAAAACAAAGCTTTGGTAGTTTTAAGGTCTTTTTAAAATCTTTAAAAAGTATTCTCAAAATGACATAGTATTCATGTTGTTTATTTTTAGGTGAGTTATCCTCAAATAATTATTTAAATCACCTTTATATTTTCAGAGATGGCATTTTAAAAAAATATAAGCACTTCCATTTTAATTGGATATTCACTTTCTTAAAGGATACTTTTTTATGTGAAGATGAGGGTATATTTTCCCATCATTTTTATTTTATTTATTTATTTATTTATTTATTTATTTATTTATTTTGGTGCATGCCCCTAGCAGGAACCGAACCTAGGACTCTCTGGTCCACAGGCCGACACTCCAACTGCTGAGTCAAACCAGCCAGAATCCCATCATTTTTATAAATACACATTGTACTCTTTAGGATTAAATAAAGTGTTTACATGTTTTATACAGCACCTAGATTGTCTTGTTAATTATTAATGGAGAAATTTTAAAAATAGAACACAAATAGTATGAAGTTATCATACTTTTATTCTCTAAAAATTGAATGAATTTTAAATTACTTGGTAAATGGACAAAAAAATCCATAATTAAATCATTAAGAATATTGTTTTTCCTAAATTAAGGCTGTTATTGAAACAAAGAGGGAAGAAATAATACTGAAAGTGAAATGATTGTTTTTTGGGTTTGGGGAGGGTTTGGTTGTTTGGTTTTTAGTACTTTGCAAAGTTAAAATCTAGGATCAGCCCTGGCCGGTTTGGTTCAGCGGTTAGAGCGTCGGCCTGCGGTCCTGAGAGACCCGGGTTCGGTTCCCGCTAAGGGCACGTACCTCGCTTGCAGTGTGTCCCCGGCCCTGGTTGGTTGTGCGGGTGGCAGCCACTCGATGTGTCCCTTTCACATCGATGTTTCTCTCTCTCTCTCTCTCTTCCTCTCTCTCCCTCCCACTCTACCTGAACAAAAAATGGAAAAATGTCCTCGGGTGAGGATAAAAAAAAAAAAAAAAAAATCTAGGATCAGTTGGACATCTAAGAAAACTACTTGTTGATCAATTAAGGAGTCTAGTAAATAAATATGAATCTGACATCTTTATGTCCAGCATTTTGCTAGATGCTGAACTATCATAAGAATAACTCTTAACCTTCACGTGACCTATAATCTAGTGATAACATTATTTTTACCTTGTGTGATAAATTATGTTTATTCCAGGTACTATAAAAATAGAGTAGAAAATAGTTAACCTACTTGATTTGTTGGTTTGGTTTGTAACTAATGCATAAACTCATTCTTCACTATTTTACATGATCACGTAACTGAAAAACAAAGCAAAATATACAGGACTTAAATGGCTTTTTCCCTTACCTTATTTTTTTTATCATTCTAACCTTGTACTCATCTCTGACTCAGTCCTGACTTTAACTCTATTTAAGTGTTCTTAATTCAGGTCATCATAGACTGTCCAGCTTTAAATACTGATTGTAATGGGGATAGGGAAATTTGAGGAATCAGGTGACACAGAAAGAATTCTGTATGTATCTTTCTTTATTCTTAAATCATGATGTCTGCTACACAGTTTATTTCTGATACTAATGTTTATTTTTATGAATATCTTATAGGTTGATCAGCTTTCTTTTGATAAAAGTGTGCTTTTATTATTAAATATGCATCTGTTAAATTATCAAATTACAAGAACTCAGTATTTTTTTAAAATAAGGAATTCCCAATTCTGAATGTTTTTGTTCCCTGAAACATAAATGTATCACTTCTTGTAACTTATTACCGTCCTCCAGCTTCTTATTGAAGATGGTTTAGTAAGCATCACCTTACCAGAAGATATTACTTGAAAATAATTCAACTAGTTAAAGTTTTCTTTTTTCTATTTTTCTTTCTTTTTGTTTTTTGGGTTTGTTTGTTTTGTTTTGTTTGTACTTTATTCCTCTTTTTATTTTCCCTTCTGCCAAAGGATGAAAAACCAACAACAGACTCCATGCTGGGTGTGTGGATTGGTGAATCTGCTATTCCTTGTACTCCTAATGTAGCAAAAGGAAAATCAAGAGCAAAAATCAGCTGCACAAAGTGAGTTCAAACTTTTTAGTTTTTCTGACATTCAGTGAAGTCAGTATTTTTAATATTACCCTGTTTTGGTTTTGTGAATATGTCAAAAACTTTTTCTAGTTGTTTTTTTTTTTTTTTTTTATCCTCACCTGAGGACATTTTTCCATTTTTTGTACAGATAGAGTGGGAGGGAGAGAGAGGAAGAGAGAGAGAGGGAAACATCGATGTGAAAGGGACACATCGAGTGGCTGCCACCCGCACGACCAACCAGGGCCGGGGACAAACTGCAACCGAGGTACATGCCCTTAGCGGGAACCGAACCCGGTTCTCTCCGGACCGCAGGCGGACGCTCTAACCGCTGAGCCAAACCGGCCAGGGCTTTTTCTAGTTTTGACATGTAAAATTTTGGACTTAAAATAATTACAGTGTGGTAAACATTTTAAGTTTTAACATATTAAAATATGTTAAATAACAATTGAATATTTATAATGACTTTTAGAACTTTTCTTATAATTTTTTAAAATATTTGTTTAATAGGTTAAAAACGCAAAATCAAGAGGAAGAACTTATGAAATTGGCTAAGGAATTTGATAAAAATATGGAAGAGCTAGATGAGATTCAAGAGCAAAACAAGAGAAATCATGATTTTATCCAGATGATTTCAGAAGCAGAGACTTCAAATAATTGTAAAGATAATGTACAGATGCAGTTATTACATGATGTAATTCCTAAAATAGATAATGCTGTAATAAAGAAGCCAATGAGAGAAAAGACCAAGGTATCTGTGGTAAATGATCAATGTAGCAGTCAGAAGCCATTTGACCAAAATGCTGAAGCAGCCTTTATTGCCATTTTTGATGGTTCCACTCAGAAATGCAGTGGACAGTTAAGCCAAGATCTGTCAGATACCTTATGGAACACCGTTAATACTACCTTAGGAAAGAAAAGTGCTTTGAAAGAGGAGAAAATCATTACTAATGAAACTCGGGTTACTGAAAAACTGCCAGATAAACCCACAGCATCACTTTCTCATCGAGTAGATCCTCCTGGAATGGCAAAATCTTATGTGACTTCCAATACTAAGGAGCCAGAAGCTTTTAATAAGCACATGGATGCATTTACTACTGGTGATTTTGAGGATGAGTGGGAAAACTTACTAAGTAATGAACCTTTTGTTATGCAAAATATAGAAATGTGTGAGCCTTTTTCTACCGCTGAAACAACCCAGATGGTTGATCAAAAAGAAATGTGTACTTCTAAGAGTAAAAATAATAAAAGTAACTCAAGAATAAATATAAGTTTAGGTGTTGGGTTGAGAGATTCAAAAACTTTAGTAGATGTTTCTTCAGAGATATATACCAGTGAATCAATAGATGCTGGAAAAGACAGATTTTCACCAAATTCAAATGATAAGCCAAACCAATTACTGTCCATAGGAAATAAAGTGAAATTTGAGAAATCATTCAATAAAATCATTGAAGACAAAACTCAAGATTGTGCAGTTGCATTTGACCTGACAAAAGTAAAGGAAGATATTCACACTAAACTTATTTCTAATGTGCATGCTTCTCAAAAAAAGTCTACTTTGAACACAGGATATTCTAATGAACAAAAAAATAGGTCCATTGTTAATCAGTCTTTTAAAATGCCTGCTGATCTAGTTCCTTTTGACTCTGCTGCTATGGGCAATGCAAATCAGACTAATGGATCAAAGTTGGTATCTTTCTCTGATGATTGGAATGACCCATCATTTGCCAATGAAATTGTTAAAGCATGTCATCAATTAGAGAATACCTGGGAAGCTGATGATGTAGAAGATGATTTATTATACCAAGCATGTGATGATATTGAAAGACTAACCCAGCAGCAAGACATGAGAAAGGACAGCAAGACATCAAGAAGTATACTTGAGGTTAATAATAGTTCCAGACATGGAGCCAGAAACCTGTTTACTACATCTAAACAAGGAAGTCAGTTGGTGCAATCAATGCATTTGAATATGAGCAGTGTTTCAGCACAATCATATTTATTGACAGATAGCCCACAAATAAATAAAGCAATGAAGATGCAGCAAGGGCAAAGTTGTGGAAATTCTCCAAGTTTTTTAGGTGCTACAACAAATTTGACTATATACTCTAAGAACTCAAATTGTCTGATCAAAAATCTGCCTGTCTCTTGGAATAATACTGATGTTCCAATACAAGCGAATACTTCCAAATCAGTTCTTACAAGACGTTCAAGTTTTAATGTGAATTCAGATCATATGAGTACAGAAATAGCTACTTTTAAGAAGAAATTGAATACCCAGCCTCTGACCTATAGGACCATAACAGATGAAGCTCATAATGACCTTAATAGAACAACTAGATTGTCTAAGTATACGTTTACAAAGATAAAAAATTCTCAAATTCTATCCCAGATTAATCAAAATTGTATAACAGGAAGTTTCTCTGATACCAGAATTACACAGAGTTTGGAGAAAAACAAAACTGACAACTCATTATGTGGAAAGACTGTTCAACAGCAATCTTTGATGAAACCTGAATCTTTGAAACAGTCTTCAAAAGGTATGTATGAAGTCATTTTCTTTGAAAGGTTATTATCTTGGAAATTAGCCAAACTTGGTTTTTTTATTGTTGTATTTAATTTGCATAATATTTATGTTTTCAAAAGACTCTAATGTTTTACCATTTAATATAGTGACTGGCATGTAGTAGGCTTTCACTATATATTTGATGTTTTCTGAAAAATTGTATGTTAGATACATATATTACTGTATGAGATGGTGTTTATGAAATGACTCATTGTTTTAAAACTTGAGTAATCTTACTCCTATATTTAGCAGAACATTGAGGTGAATAATATTTGAAAATTTAGGGTCATTTTAATTAAACACCTCCTCTAGTCTAGTACCTAGTATAAAACTGTTAATTTTGATAAGAATTCTGATTACTTAGTACAACCTGTCTTCTTTCATTCTTCGGATTCCTCTTTATACAAATTATCCTTTCCATCAAGTTCTATTGTTTCTACCACAAAAAAATACATCTCAAAATTGTCCAATTTTCTCACTCTACTGCTACCACCCTTTCTGAGCCAATACTTACTGACTAGACTACTGCAGTTCTTTTATCTGTCCCCTTTCAATTCTAATCTCCAAGCAGCAGAATGATCTTTTACAAACAAATAGGTAAACAACACATTCCTATGCTTAACCACACCTTCAGTGGCTGACTGCGTATTTCCAATAAAGTTTGGACTTGACACTGTGATCTACAAAGCCTTGATTATCTCTCCTTAACTTGCCCGCCCTCTTTTTACCCTTGCCTGCTAAGCTTCAACTATACCAGCAGTCTTCCAGTTCCTCAAAAGAAATAGGTTCTCTCTTAGATCAGGATCTTTGACTATACTATTCCCAACTAAAACTACTCCCCAACATTTGCCCCCCGACCCCTTGGGTGGTACTTTTTTATCCCTAGGTCTCAGTTTAAGTATTACCTACTCTCTCACAGAGGCCTTCCTTGAACAATCTGTATAAGTAAATCTTTTCCTTGTTATTTTCCATCATGTCTCTTATTTCCTTCACTTTTTGTTGTTGTTGTTGTTAATCCACACCCAAGGATATTTCCCTTGATTTTTAGAGACAGTAGAAGGGAGGGAGGTAGAAAGAGAGAGAGAAACATTGATGTGAGAGAGACAAATCAATTGGTTGCCTCCCACATGCCCCTCAACTGGGGCAGGGATTAAACCTGCAACCCAGCTACATGCCCCTGACCGGGAATCAAACCCGAGACCCTTTGGTGTTTGGGCCGACACTCTAACTATTGAGCTACAGCGCTTTCCTTCACCTATTTTAGTCACAATTAAATATTAATTACCGTCTTATAGAATACTTTGGCTTACCATAGCATCTGCCACTTAGAAGATGTTTAATAAATATTTGAGTGAACACCATGCAAAATAATGTAAAAGGTCTGCTATTCACTGATATTGTAATATTTTTTAAAAGGGAATATGTCTGGTGTAACTACCGGACTTCTTAATGCCCAGTGCTTTTTCTCAGCTTTACGGCTGCAGATGCTGTTTTCTGCACTAGGAATAGTGCCCCCACGTACCTATACCAAATCTGCCAGGCCATTTTCTCCTTGTCCTTGTATGTGTTTTCAACCACCTTCAGAATGATTTACATTCACTTTCTCCAATACCCAGTGCTAACCTCTGTTACAGCATTTTGTATACTGAATTGTAATTATAGATTTTATTAGTCTCCCTCACTTAGAGCTGACATTGGGTACCTTATCTGTTATGTACATTAATGCTAATATGAGAAAGTTTTTTTTGTTTGTTTCTTTTAACATTAAATCTTTTTAGATTGTAGATAACGCTTTTGTTGGTATTACTGTTAGAATGTTTCTGTTTAAGTTATCCCTCCCCTTTTTATAAAACAAATTATAAAAGTCCTCTGTTTCTCCTTTCCCACAACTATTTCCCAGGAAAAACCACTGGTAACAGTTTGGAAGACATCATGTAACATTTTTTGTGCGTATAAAAATGTGTGTGTATACCTGTAGGTTTGTTTGTATAGATGGAATTAAATGCTATGTACCCAGTATTTGACAACTTGGTTTTACCTTCACTTAATATAACTATCTTTTCTTTTAGTACATATAGATTTGCTTCAGTCCCTTTAACATACTGTGTAGTATGTCATTATATGGATGTGACAGTATATTTAACTGTATATATATATCTATTGATGGAAATTTAGTTTGGTTGCAATTTTTTGCATTATAAACAATCTTCCAGTAAATACTCTTCTACATAAATTTCTGCATGTTCTTGTAAATATATCTGTTAATTACTAAAAAAAAAATTAATGAAGGCGAGAGAATGTTTTGAATTTTGATGGCTACCAAATCTTCCCAAAAGTTACATCAATTTATATGCTTATCAATACTGACAGAGGATATATCTCTACATTATGGCCCAAACTAAGTATTTTAAAACTTTAAGAATTGTCTATCTATGCCCTGGCTGGTGTGGCTCAATTGGTTGGGCATCATCCCGTGCACTGAAAGGTTGCCAGGTCAGTTCCAGGTCACCGCCCATGCCTGGGTTGCAGGCTTGATCCCTGGTAGAGGGTATGCAGGAGATGGCCCATCAGTGTTTTGCTCTCTCATTGATGTGTTTCTCTCTCTCTCTCTCTTTCTCTCTCCCTCCCCCTTTCCTCTCTAAAAATCAATTAAAAAATCTTTAATAAAGTTAAAAAGAATTGCCAATTTAAAATATGTTGTATATTCCAATAAATGTAATTAATTGACTCATACTTACCAAATGAATATATTTACATATAGTTATAATTCTATAAAAGACTAAATCTCTTTAGAATGTTTGAGTTTTCTCAAAACTCTGCATTTTTTATGGATGAGTAATCTGCCTTTCAGTTTACCTTAGCTATTTTTGTTTTGAGTATTTATAGCATCTAATATTCTTTTTTTCCCCAGTATGTTTTTTATTGATTTTAGAAAGAAGAAGGGGGGAGGGAGAGAGTGAGAGAAACATCAGTGTGATAGAGAAACAGTGATTGACTGCTTCCCATATGCACCCCAACCCAGCCAGGGATCGAGCCCACAGCCTGGGCAGGGAGTTGAACCAGTGACCTTTCAGTGCAGGAGACCACACTCAACCAACTGAGCCACACTCATCAGAGCATATAGCATCTGATGTGCTAATGAATATTAACCTTCTTGATATTTTCTATCGCTTCTACTTCCTTTCACTTTATGTAACAAACTACTCTCCAGAGAATGTTTTTGTAACAAAACCCATTTAAGAACCTCATTCTTTGAAGGCAGAGCTTGGCAAACAATGACCTGGCCAATCCAGCCTATGCGGCCTGTTTTTGTACAGCCAGCATGCTAATATGGTTTTTGCATTATAAATGGTTAAATCAAAAGAAGAAGAATATTTCATGACTTGAAAATTGTAATCAATTCTAATTTTATTGTCCCTACACAAGTTTGTATTTGAATGGAGCCACATCATTTGTTCATGTATTGTCTTTGGCTGTTCTCATGCTCCAATGACAGAGTCGAGCAGTTAGAAGAGATTTTATGACCCGCAAAGTTTAATATATTTACTTTCTGGTCCATTACCAAAAAAAAAAAAATTTGCTGACCCCTGCTTTAGCTTAAAGATAAGGAGCCACTTTCGCTTTGTACCTTGCAATAGTTTGAGACTTTGCTGTGTATTTTTATTGCAGATTGAGTTAAAGGAAGGAGAAATGGATGACTCTCTCTAAGTCAAATTTTCATGGTGTGACTTTATTATATCCTTTGAAATTATTTTCCAGAATATCACCAAGCCAACTGTAAGACCAGTTTTAGGGAGCTATGTTCTTTTCTTTCGTCATAGATTATTAACCTGTGTTCCTTTCAAATGTATGGTCAATTGAATGTAAACTGTGTGTATGTATTCTGAGTTTTTTGTGTTTCTCAGGTTTGAGACTAAAGTATTAGATTATTAGTCTAGCTAATTTTAAGTATCTTGTAGTATCTTTCTGTAAGGAAAAAAAAAGCTACACTCTGAGATAATTAGTTTAGGAGTTAAAAGGCATCAGAATCATTAGGAAGTTTATTTGAAAGATATATCTCTTACCCTGAACACCCACTCCCATTCAAATAATACTAAGAAAGAAAGGGAAGACAGGTGACATATTTTAGACATACACTTCCCTTAGTTAACAAGAGAAATGTCTCATAACAAATTCGGGACCTTTGTTTAGATGTCAGTGTAAATAATATTTCTCTGCCGGCAGTACTACAGATTCTTCTCAGAAAGGCAGATGTTATAACAAACAGTTTTACAAATACAAAACAAGGTCACTTAAATATGTATTAAGGTCATGGTCTTAATTTTAAGACATTTAAATGAGGGAATATGTTTGCTATTTAAAGTTTGATTCTTATTAACATTAATATCTATTATTTTAGTGCAAAGTGACTTAACTATTGAATTAAATTCATTATATTTATGGCTCAGTATTTTGACAGAGGTAGAATTGGATGTTTTATTAAAATAGAACTTATTTTGATTTAATTTAAAACATTGTTTATTTTGTAGTGTGTTTATCTAAAGTGTGCTGCATAATATATCAGAATGCTTCACATTAAGACTTTCAAATTGAAGATTTTATTCAGATACTCTGCTTTTTAAAATAATTTCCTAGTGTTTATATAAAATGTGTTCTCCAAATAAAAAGATAATATCTGACAGTGAATTACATGTTTATTGACATGCTTGATTTTACTCTATCATGCTAAAATATTTATCCTGGATGGCTGAAATGAAATCTTGGAGTTCTGAAGACTTGAATATGAATATAGCTTATCTTATAAATACATTATTTGAGGTATTGGTATCTATATAATTCATTTTATTTTAAATACTTTAAGATTCCAGTTTGGTTTTAAAATGTATTTGTTTGTTCTATAAATTAGATGTCATTATTCACAGAATTATTTGCTGGATGGTCAAAATGTACCATTTTTAATCATGAATTTTATCAGTGATCAGTGATTGGTTTTTTTTCGGCCTACAGCATTATGTCTGTACTTGGAATCTTATATTTAGTAGTTTAGTGTGATTTAATAGCCAAACCAATGTGGCAAATCTGGGTAATAAAAACGTGAAAATTAAAACTCATATTAACAATGACCTTACGGCTCATAAAACTAGTATCTGTATTTTAATTTTTAGAGGAAGAAGAGAAAAATAGAAAGTATTCTCCTGAAGAAATTCAGAGAAAAAGACAAGAAGCACTGGTTCGAAGAATGGCCAAAGCACAAGCGTCATCTGTGAGAGCAGCTCCCCCTTAACTTCATCTCTTTAGTGAATAGTAGTTGGAAGACTCCACAAAGACACTTGATACCTATCGATGATAGGAACATTGTTCTTGATTTCTCTGTGAGAAATTTAATGCTGAGTTATAAAGCATGGACTTCTACTTTATTTTTATTTAATAAATCATGGTTGCATTGGTCAGTGAAACCTTTCCTTGGAGATGCATGTGAAAGTAATTCCATGTAAGTTTTGGAAGTTTAGGAAGGTTAATAATTATGAATTATAAGGAGGAAAGGTTATATTTTTTTAAATACTGTGATTGCAGAGGACCATCAAAAATAGGTTATTTACTTAATTTTGTATTGTAATAAGTCTTTTCCTAATACAAAGCTTCAATTTACTAAGTTCAAGGAGACTTAGTTCAAATTTACTAAGTTTGTACTTTGAGTAACTAACTGTTCCTTAAGTTTTTTATGCATTTCTGAAGTTTGATACTTTCATATTCTTAGGAACATGGTTGATAGGAAATAAAGGACTCAGTTTATTTGTAAGGAAATTACTGTTTTCATTTTCCAAACTGAAATAGATTTGAATGTGAATTTTGTAAAATGTTATGCATTTTGGAAACTTTCCACCATTTTTACAAAAAAATGCTGATTTAAGACATTTTGTTTAGAAAAAAGTGGGTTGGCAATATAAATAATGTAGCATCATTAACATTTAGAACTGTCGGAGCTTTAGATATCATTGACCCAACTTCTTTACTGTATAGGTAAGAAATGGATATTGTTATGCTGAAAGCCACAAGGCAAGTTAAAGCTGTACTGGGATTAGAATGATTTCTTTCATTCTGATGGCTACCTAAACAATTGTACCATTTCCTTCAGAGTATTAATACATAAAATAATTTGTTTTGCTCTTTATTATTTTATAGTATAAAACTAGAGTAAGTAACAAAGTACATTAAGGACTATTTAAATATGATGCTTATTATTTCTTTCTTTTGGTTTTTTAATACCCAAGGATATTCTTAGTGATTTTAGAAAGAGAGAAACGTCATTTGGATGCCTCCCATACACACCCCAAACGGGGGTCAAGCCCATAACCTGCGTATGTGCTCTGACCGGTAATTGATCCTTTTTGGTTTATGGGTGATGCTCCAACCAACTGAGCCACCCAGCCAGGACACGAATTGTTTTTTTTTATTAAAGAATGAATCATTCTATGGTATGAAAATGAGAATATCTTTTGTGTTTTTCTATAACTGTAATTTCCCTTGATTAATTTACTGACTTTATTAATTTGTTCTCTGTTACTCTTTTTTTTCTTTTTCTTTTTGCCTGTTTGGAATTTGCTAAGCCAGAAGTAAAATCTAAGCATAGGGCATGGAAGGCAATAAGGATGCTCTCTTCATCCCCAGTGGATTTAGGAGACCTGAGGAAAGTTATAGATGGGAATTACCTATTAAGTTGTTTACCACTATTCAGGTGTCTTTTCACTCTGATAATTTTGAAATAATTAAATGCATTTTAAGGTATTGCTATATAGAGACATCATTTTGAAAATTGTATTTTCATATGTACAGGAGTGGACAAAAGTAGATTTTCAGTTCATATGGGAAAAGACATACAGGTTATGATTATTATAGGTCAAACTGTGCTTTGGATACCTCTCCCTCTGCCTGCCGTTACCTTCGTCTAGAGTGCCTTTAGCCTATTCTGTCCAGTTCCACACAAACCAGTGCCAGAGAATTGAAGAGGTGGACTGTTTCCCAGTTCATTCTATGAGGTAACCATTATCTGGATACTAAAACCTGAAACACATTAAAAGAAAACTAAAAACCAATATCCCTCATGAGCATAAATGCAAACATTCTAAACAATTTTTTTAGTAAAGGAAATCCAACATTATGTAAAAATAATGATGCTTCATGACCAAATGGCATTTATCCCAAGAATACAGGGTTGGTTTTTAACACTTGAAAGCCAACTAAATTCACTATATCAACAACTATAAAATAAAAGTTAGTAGATTGAAAAGAAACTTCCTCAATCTGATTAAGAGCAGCTACAAAATATAAAAACATATATAGGTAACATGATATGGTTAAACTGTTTCCGTCCTAAGGTTGGGAATGAGACAGTGGTATCTGCTCTCATTGTTTGTAGTCACTATTGTACTGGAGGTTCGTTAGGCAAGAAAAATATATCTAGATTGAAAAGAAGATGTATAACTATATTTGCAGACAACATGATCACCTGTTTAGAAAAGTCAGTATAATCTATAAAAAATGCTACTAGAAGTAATACATTTACCAAAGTTAACAGGATTCAACATTGATACACAAAAGTAAATTACATTTCTATATCTAGCAACAAATGAAATTGAAGTAAAATACTATTTATAAATGTTTCCCCTTTTTTAATTTATAGGGGTAACACTGATTAACAGTTGCACAATTCTACAACACCTCATCTATACACTGTATTGTTTGTTCACCACCCCAAGTCAAGTCTCCATCCATCACCATTAAAAAATATAGAGTACTTAGAGATAAACTTAACAAAAGATGGGGAAGACTTGTAGACTGAAAAAATCTAAAACTTTGCTGAAAGAAAGACCTAGATAATACCATGTGCATAATTCAGAAGACAAGACCGAGATACCAGTTCTCCCCAAATGTATAGATTTGACCCAGTCCCAATCAAAATATCAACAGCCAATTTTCTATAGAAACACAAACTTGACAATTTATATGGAAATGACTTAAAATGACCAAATATGGCTTTGAAAGAATAAAATTGGAACACTAACTACCTGATTTCAAGATGTGTAAGTAAAGCTTTAGAAATCAAGACTGGTGGTGACATGCAGATGGACAAATAGACCAGTGAGACAGTTTATAAGTAGATTCACACATACATGAACAAGTGAATTTTGACAAAGGTACAAAGGCAACTTAAGAGAAAATATTTTTAATAGATTGTGCTGTAATGAATACCATATGCAAAAAATCCACTTTGTACTTCATGCCATACAAAAATAAAAAATGTGTCAAGACCTAAATATGAAACTTTATAAACTGATAAGAAAACAGAAGAAATTGACTTTGCATTGCCTAAAGTTTTAAATATGACACCAAAAACAGTTCATAAAAGAAATTGAATAGGAATTCATCAAAATTAAGATACTACTGCTCTTCAAAAAAATGAAGATATTCAGCATGGGTGCCAAGGCTATTCAATAGGGAAAGTAATCTTTTCCACAAGTGATGCTAGGACAAGTGGATACTGACATGCAAAAGAATTAAGTTGAAGTCCTACCTCACACCATATAAAAAATTACTGAACATGGATCCTTGGCCTAAATGTAAGCTAAAATTACAAAACTGTTAGAAGAAAACATGGGAGTAGGCAACAGTTCCTTAATACACAAAAGTCACAAGACAAAAGAGTTTGTGTTTCATCCAGATTAAAAACTTGTGCTTCAAAAGATACCATCAGAAGAAAGAAAAATCTTTGCAAATCACATATGTACTGATTAAGGAAATATAAATTTCTCTTAAAACTCAACATTATGACAGAACAACATGAAGGTGAGGAAGGAGCAAAAGATTTGAACAGCCAATTCATCAAGAAGATATACAGGTGGCATATAAGCACATGAAAAGTTCATCAATCACTAGTTGTTAGGAAAATGAAAAAACCACAACGAGATCACATGATTAAAGTTAAAAAGATTTGACTATGCCAAGAATTGGTAACATCTGGAGGGACTGGAACTTTTGTGCTGATAGCAATATAAAATGGTAAAAATGGTTTTATGATTTATCTAAAACGAAAATGCAAACTAATGTGACATCATTAACCGGACGGGAGGAGTAGGGAAGGATGAATGAGGGATAACAAACTCAGGGGGATGGATATGTTTACTGTGTATACATCAAAATGTATAAAGTTGTACTCTTGAGGTATGCAATTTATTGTATGTCAAATATACCTCAAAACTGC